AAAAAAAAAAAAAAAAAAAAAAAAAAAAAAAAAAAAAAAAAAAAAAAAAAAAAAGATGCTCTAAATCTTGGGAGGTCTAATATGAATTGTCCTTTTGATAGTGAGATGTCATATCAAAAGGAACACTTACCATAAACTATAAACGGATAATAATTAAGATTCGAATAAATGAGTTGGTGGGTCAAGCTTACAAAATTTTAAAGTGTAACGACCGTTCCTAAACCGATGATTTGAAATTCGAATTTAGCATCTTTGTGCTCTAATATTCTCCTGCGACATGGTCACATTACTGATCGCTCGCTCTTAAAACTGAAGACTACCCCACATGTTATGAGTCCTTTTAGTTTCACTTGTCCTCACTCGCATACATTTTAGAAGAATTTTTCAGAAAATCACCAAGAATAGAATTGCAGCAAAACACGATTAATTTTGGAGTTCTTATGATTGAACCACGGAAAAAAATGTGCATTGATGTAAATGGTAACTTTCAATATTTTTACGTTATTTTAGTTATCATATTCTCATAATCACTCTCATTTGAATGTAGTTACATTCATTCATACTCGAATAAATAAATAAATCTATTTATATATATATATATAGTCACGTCAAAAGATTTAAACCCATGAGCATTATCACTTTTATGTTTTTAATGGAAAATTAAAAGATACCATGTTGACTTTTGTAAGTTTATCCTTAAGTAAAGGAATTAGGTGTTTAAAAATATGAGCACTAATGTCTCATAAAAAGCATATGTCTGGCGTTAATGATTCACAAAGTTTGATTAAAGACATTACCATTAAAAGCAAACTAACTCCAATCATACCCATTTACATACATGTATTATTAATGGTTTGACTTTGGTTTAAATTAAAAAATTCAAATTTTAATTTAATTTAATATGAAAAAAAAAAGTATATTATTATTGCACTGTTCTCGTCAATTTATTTATTTTAAAAATATATAAATATAATTATGGTTGAAATCTTTATAAAAATATCTAAATATATCTATTCTTAAAATATATAGATTTTTATTCTTAAAATATTTGGACAATAGATTCATATAATTATTGGGTTTCATCTTATTGCAGCAGTGATGATGTTTTAACACACACTCTCAACACTAGTCTTCATTCGTCGTACGATGTTGAGTTGATAGTCAAACCTTCATATTTGATATTATTCGACCCTTTTTGTAAACCGATCTACCACTTAGTCATCCATTTTCTTCTTTATAGAACTTTATGTCTAATAAAATGGTAATGCACCTTCATATATTTTGTTCTAGCATGAAGGCGAATTACATATTGGTTGTCGGAATGAAATGGTATCGAATACTCAACTTTCTAGTGCAAATCTTCTGCTAAGAGTTTTAATAATGTACTTTCTTGAGTTGCTTTAGCCCTGCTTTTGCTTTGTCCTCTGCTTCAGTAATTAACAATAATATTGTTGGTTATTTTTTGCTGGACCAAGAAATTATTTCTAAACCTAGTTTAAACGCTTATCCAGTAGTTGATATTTGGGTATCGTGGTCTCCTACATGGTTTACATCATAGTATCCAACTAGCTTGCATTTTTAGCTTCTTTTGTAAAAAAGATCATAGTCGATGGTTCCTTTTACATATCTCAGAATCCGTCAAGCTGCATTATGAAATCCTTTTAGTTGGTTCATGTAGATCTCCTGATTCAACTCTCCATGCAAGATAGTATTCTTCACATCCATTTGTCATAATTTATAATCTTTACTTGAAACGAGTGCTAGCAAGATGTGTACGAGAGTGATCTTTGTCACTGGATTAAACGTTCCATCGTAGTCTAATATATATTGTTGAGAGAACCCTCGAGTTACAAGTCGGGTCTTTTATCTTTCGATTGATTCATCCAGGGATGCTTTATTTTGTAAACCTATAGGTTTGGAGGTGGCAACATTGGTTTTGATGGACTTCTTCTTAGACCAATGAGCCTTGGACTTGTGGTCATTCTTTATGCAATTGTAACAACATTTTCAAATCTCTCCTTTTCAAAACTCTTGTTATCGTTGTTCTGAGCTCTCTCACGTTGTGCAGTTTTTTGGTGACTTCTTCCTTTATTACCACTTTGTATCCACATTGCTTATTATTCCTATGACTGTAATAACAAAATTTATATATTATGGTCTCGAGCTTCTCCGATGATAGATTTTAGATCTAATTCAGTAATCTCCCAATAGATAAGATGACAGATTTTAAAGATAAACTAGTTTGTTTGTTTGTTTATTGACCGCTCCTCAATTTCTTCTCCTTTTTTGTTTTGTTTTGTTTTTTTTTTTTTTTTGCTACGCGACACCGTCAAAGTTCCCCAAAGGCCTAAAGACATCATTGCCCAAGAGACCTAATTCTCTCTCTTTTAAATTTTTATCTACATTTTCAAACGTGGACGAGCTTGATATTCATCAAATATAACATAAAATATCTTCATCAAATAAACTTAGTCAAACAATAGACGTTTTTGCTTTATAACTGTTAATTTCTTATATTTTCGGGATAAATTAAAAAAATCAAACTTTAAAAAAAAAAAAATTAATAAATATAAAAATAAAAAGATAAGTTGAGAAAATTGGTGGGGAAAAGGGCTAAAAGCAAATTAAGAGGGAATAAGACGGAGCATTGTGGGCTTGTCATCATCACACAGATTTGATTTGCGATGGAGATTTTAGTCTTCCCATTTTCCACCAATTTGATTCTCTCCCACAGCGAGAAGAAAGCAAATAAAAATGTGAACAAAAGCCCAGCGGGAAAGAGATTGAAAATGGGATGATTTTTCTTTTAGTTAACTTCATAATGATTTTAGCGTGGAAAAACAGAGCATAAATTTTGAATTTTGTGGTTCTGGGTTCATTCAGGTTGAAGGTATTTCCATCATTTTTTCATGGGGTTCTCTTGAAGCCATAGTTGTACTCAGTCGACAAAGACAGAGAGGAATAGAGGCGGTGACAGAGAGAAAGAAGACGACATAGTAAAAGAGTATAGGGAAGGGTAGCGATTAGGGAGACAGAAAAGTCAGGACAGTATCCGAGAAAATCCTTCACAATCTTCAAGTTTTCATTTCATTTTGTTGAATTATAGCAAAAATGGGGAGAAACAGAAAAACCCCATGTGTTATTCTACACTAAAAGCCATTACGGATCGCTTTTTGGAGGACCTTCTTCGGGTTCCTCCATCTATCTGCAAGTGAATCATTCGTTTCATTGTTAACATTTTGCCTCTTTTTTGATACCCAGGTGAGCAAATCTGCAAAAGCATTGTTTCTTTCGATAAACCCACTTTCCCTTTCCCTTTCCCTTTTCTTTTTGTTTTTGCTTTCTTTTTGCTCTGTTTCAGTGTTTCTTCTTGTGTTCTACGCTGCGCGCGTGTGATTTTTTCTTGGGAGCTGAGGGGTTCAGCTGTGTAAGTTTGATTGTTAATGGACATGAAATGGGGTACTGAGCTTCACGCCTGGAGGAGGAGGAGGCGTAGAGGGACATGATTAGCTTTCTTCTCTGTATTTTTATTGTTTCAGTTTCCTTTTTTGTTACGCAAGGATCTCATTGACCCGAAAGCATATGAGCGAGGAATTCTTTGGAATGTGGGCTTTCTCTCTCCCTAGGCTGTTATTTTATTGTTTACCATAAAAGAAGAACACCCCATCTTTTGTGAGAGTCAGGTTTGTCTCCGGGAATTGAAAGGCTCTCTTTATTGATTGTCTTTTCTCCCTAGGCTAGAAATGGGTTTTGGTGAGCTCGAAAAAGGGAAATGGGTTTTTTTTTTCTTGGTTTTGCTTTCTGAGCTTTAAATTCAACAGGTCAAATGCTGTTGTGACGACCTTCCTTTTGTCTACCTTTTTCTTTTCTGTTTAATTGCAGAAGGAACTGTCAAACGAATTTACAGAAAGAAAGTGAGCTAAGAATGTTGCTAATTCAGGTTGGCCTAGTTTTGGTAGGGGGAATGAAGAACAAGAGGTGAAAGAGGAAGACGGAAGATGGGTTCGAAAATGCAGCCAAACCACAACTCTGTGGCCAAGTGGAATGAGCAAATGGGAACAACAAAGAAGGGTTACACGTTTGTTCAAGCTAACAGGGCTTGGCTTCGTAAGTATCTTCTGCTGTGGATTATGGGGATGGCTTTTATCAGCATGTTAATCTATAATGGCATGGATGCTGATAATAAAGTGAGAAGGAATGAAGTGTTGGGGAGCATGTGTGAAGAGAGATCAAGGATGTTGCAAGATCAGTTCAGTGTTAGTGTCAACCATGTTCATGCCTTGGCTGTGCTTGTTTCCACCTTTCATTACTTCAAGACCCCTTCTGCAATTGACCAGGTTTGTGCTTCAAGCTTTGGACATTGGTTTGTTCTTCTTATAGTTGGGGGAAATCTGAACCCTCCATGATGTACAAGTTCATTTCTCTGTATTTTCTTGAAGATACTGGTATTGTATTGTATTCTTTTCAATGATATGTTTGTTTAACGAGCCTGAAATACGACAATGCAGGAGACTTTTGCAGAATACACAGCCAGAACGGCTTTCGAACGGCCTCTACTCAGTGGGGTGGCGTATGCACAGAGAGTGGTTCATTCAGAGAGGGATATATTCGAAAAGCAACATGGGTGGATGATAAAAACAATGAAAAGAGAACCTTCCCCAATTCGAGATGAATATGCACCAGTTATATTTTCTCAAGAAACAGTCTCTTATATTGAATCACTGGATATGATGTCAGGAGAGGTAGAGCAAAATGAGCTTGCTATTCAAGCTTATATGTTGGATGAAAGTGGCATGCCTATCTGTATTGTTTTTCCTCTCTCATTTGGTAGATTTCTTCTGGCTGATATGATGCAGGAGGACCGCGAAAATATTTTGAGGGCTAGAGCAACAGGAAAAGCTGTCTTAACAAGCCCCTTCAGGCTGCTGGGCTCACATCATCTTGGAGTTGTTTTGACGTTTCCCGTTTACAAATCCAAATTGCCATCTATACCAACTGAAGAAGAACGTATAGAAGCAACAGCAGGGTCAGTCTGGATAAGAAGTAGTTTTATTAGGAATGTGAGTTCATATGTGATTTGTTTGTTCATCCTTATGTATATAACATAGACAATTACCTGCCAAATATCGTTAGAAGTTTTCCTCCATTGCTGTATTCTTGTGGGATGTCCTTCACAAACTCTCAATTCCCTAGTGGTGTTTGGTTTTCACATTTTCTGAGTTTGATCTTTTCTCTTGGCTCTATACTTACCCTGAAATTTTTGGCCTGGAAATTTGTGTTCTCATCGAAATATACCTTAATTTTCAAATCTCTTGAGCTTGAGCATTGTCTGAGAGGTGAAATTATATGTGCCAGATATGTTAAATTGTTTCTTATCTTAACGCAGCTACGTTGGTGGAGCTTTTGATGTTGAGTCACTTGTGGAGAACTTGCTTGGGCAGCTTGCAGGGAATCAGGCCATTTTGGTAAACGTGTATGATGTTACGAACTCTTCTGACCCCCTCGTCATGTACGGTCATCAATATCAAGATGGTGACGAGTTTCTTTTGCATGGGAGTAGCCTTGATTTCGGAGATCCATTCAGGAAGCATCTGATGATTTGTAGGTAAAGAATTCTGCCATATTTGTTACAACTCTAATGTGGATTATTTGCCTTGGTGTCTTATGGCTTTTCTCATGTGGATATGGAGCAGATATCAGCAGAAGGCTCCCACATCCTGGACTGCCCTGACTACTGCATTCTTATTCTTCGTTATCGGGTTATTAGTTGGATATATTTTATACGGTGCAGCAACTCACATCGTGAAGGTTGAAGATGATTTTCATGAGATGCAGGAACTGAAAGTTCGAGCTGAGGCTGCTGATGTTGCAAAATCCCAGGTACTATCAATCGGTTCAAATAGGAACTAAAAAATTAAGAGACTTAAAGAGAGAAGGAAACAGACAGAATTTAGAGGGGAGAGTAAGTGATAGTTGGGGTGCAAGTTCTGCATCAGACTCTTGATATTCAGGTTGAAGTATGTTGTATTAAAAAATAGGCTTATAACAGTGTCTAGTATGAAGCAGAAAGCAATAGCATAATAGGAGGTTGAATCACTAACACAAACTAAATCTCTATATCATACAGAAACATTGTAACGGCCCAAGCTCACCGTTAGCAAATATTGTCCTCTTTGAGCTTTCTCTTTCGGGCTTCCCCTCAAGGTTTTTAAAACGTGTCTGCTAGGGAGAGGTTTCCACACCCTTATAAAGAATGTTTCATTCTCCTCCCCAACCGATGTAGGATCTCACAATCATAAACATCGAAATATCTTGATTATAACCATGTTATTCCTTTTCCAAATCACCACATTTTGACTTAGTAGTCAAATGGATAAGTGGTAAATTCAAATGTCTTTAAGATCGTGGATTCAAATTAGGATGGCCATTTACTTAAGAGGGTTAATTAGGCATTGTTCTTAATTTGTAGCCTTAGGAAGAGGGTTAGAAGGGTTGGGTCAAGTTTGTGCGCATGTGTTGTGTCGTGTGTGGGATCCTAGTTAGTTATGACAGTAGAATCGGTAAAAATTGAGTAAATAGTACGTACATAGACTTGGCAGTCTGTTAGGAGAGGCATTTTTTGGCTTTTGACTTGAGTTTTGGAATTGTGGAGAGTACAGAGCTCTTGAATCTCCCTTGGAAATGTACCTCTATGTATCAATAATAGTTGAATTCTGTCATAAATACCCTTTGGGTAACTGTAACGGTTCAAGCCTACTGCTAACAGATATTTGTCTTTTTTGAGTTTTTCCTTTCGGGCTTTCCCTCAAGGTTTTTAAAATGGGTATGCTAGGGAGAGATTTCCACGCTCTTATAAAGAATGTTTCGTTCCCTTCTCCAACCGATGTGGCATCTCACAATCCATCCCATTTTGGGGTCCAACGTCCTTGCTGGCACTCGTTCCTCTCTCCAATCGATGTGGGGTCACACAATCCAACGTCCTCGCTAGCACACCGCCTAGTTTCTGGCTCTGATACCATTTGTAACAGCCTAAGCCTACCGCTAGCAGATATTGTCTTATTTGGGCTTTTCCTTTTGGACTTCTCCTCAAGGTTTTTAAAACGTGTCTGCTACGGAAAGATTTCCACACCCTTATAAAGAATGTTTCATTCCCCTCCCCAACCGATGAGGGATCTCATAGTAACAGTTCTTCAATGCCAATGTTAGTGGGATTTGTCGAGTTGCATGTTAGTTGGAGGTCTTCCACGATCATCTATAAAAAGGAATGGAATTCTGCATTGAATCACCTGCATGTTGTAACCTAGTCAACCCATCTATATGATGTTTTATCTCTTGATTTAAATCTCTCTTTTATTTTGGTTTCAGTTTCTTGCAACTGTTTCTCATGAAATTAGAACACCAATGAATGGCATTCTTGGTGAGTTATTTTCCTGTCAATCTTCGCTTTTGCTGAAATCCTTGATTTTGTATGTACAACAAATACTCAGATTTGTATACTTTCGTGAGCATCAATTTCAGGAATGCTTGCTCTGCTTCTGGACACGGATTTAAGTTCAACTCAGAAGGATTATGCTCAGACTGCTCAAGCATGTGGAAAGGCACTGATAGCATTAATAAATGAGGTTCTTGATCGGGCAAAAATTGAAGCTGGAAAATTAGAACTGGAAGCAGTTCCATTTGACATTCGATCAATACTTGATGATGTCCTGTCTTTATTTTCCGAGAAGTCCAGACAAAAGGGTCTGGAGGTAGGACATGTGGCCATCATTTATTTTTCAAACAAACATGTTTGTTGGCTGTTTCTTTACATGTCATGTTAAGTATTGACTTTCTTGCTCTTTGCTATGATGATATGGAAATGAAGCTGGCAGTTTTTGTATCTGATAAAGTTCCAGAAATTGTAATTGGAGATCCAGGAAGATTCAGACAAATCATAACAAATCTTGTGGGTAACTCTGTTAAGGTAAGTGGATTGTTCAAGTTTCTTTCGATTGGTGCTGTCCTTTTTTCTTTCTTTGAAGTGTATTTGTGAGATCCCACATCTTTTGGAGAGGGAACGAAGCATTTCTTTTAAGGGTGTGGAAACCTCTCCCTAATAGACGTGTTTTAAAACCATGAGGCCAACGGCGATACGTAATGGGCAAAAGTGGACAATATCGGTTAGCAATGGACTTGGGTTGTTAAACATGGTATCAAAGCCAAGCATCGGGTGGTGTGTCAGCGAGGACGCTGGGCCTCATAGGGGGGTAGATTGTGAGATCTCACATCTCTTGGAGAGGGGAACGAAATATTCCTTATAAGGGTGTGGAAACCTCTCTCTAGTAGACATGTTTTAAAATTGTGTGGCCGACGACAATTACATAATAGGCCAAAGTGGACAACATCTATTAGCGGTGAGCTTGGGCTGTTACAAATGGTATCAGAGCTAGGCATCAGGCGGTGTGTCAGCGAGGACGTTGGGCCCCCAAGGGGGGTGGATTATGAGATCCCACATCTCTTGGTGAGGGGAACGAAGCATTCCTCATGTGAGTGTGGAAATCTCTCTCTAGTAGACGCGTTTTGAAACTGTGAGGCTAACAGCGATACGTATCGGGTCAAAGCGGACAATATCTGTTAGCGGTGGGTTTGGGGTACAGTATATTGTCGGTAGCAAACACCATTAAAATAATTTTTTATATATTTCTTTCTGCAGTTTACTGAAAGGGGACACATATTTGTTAAAGTACATCTAGCTGAGCACTCAAAAGGCTCCATCGACACAAAATATGTCAATGGAATGTCAGACAGTGACTTGTTTATATCGGATGGTCGTGAATTTCAAACTTTAAGCGGACGTGAGGCAGCTGATAATCAGAACAATTTGGATAACTTTAAACATCAAATTGCTGATGAGAACTCTCAGTCGAATGCTTCTCCAAACAACCCAACAGTAACTAATGAGTATTGTGGTCATGTCACATTGATGGTAAGTGTGGAGGATACTGGAATTGGGATCCTTTTACATGCCCAAAATCGAGTTTTCATGCCCTTCATGCAAGCAGATAGCTCGACCTCCCGAAATTACGGAGGAACTGGTATCGGCTTGAGTATCAGCAAATGTTTAGTTGAACTAATGGGTGGTCAGATCAACTTCGTAAGTCAGCCTCAGATTGGTAGCACGTTTTCGTTCACTGCTGTTTTAGGAAAGTGCAAGAAAAATTCAATGAATGACATGAAAAAACCCAGCTCTGAAGAGCTTCCTCCCAGTTTTAGGGGAATGAAAGCAATAATAGTTGACAGGAAACCAGTTAGAGCTTCTGTAACCAGATATCATTTGAAGAGACTTGGTATCATAGTTGAAGTCACCAGTAGCATCAACATGGCAGCTTCTTTATGCGAAGAAAATGGCTCCATAGCACCAGGGTAAGGCCTGATAATCTTTTCTTGAGATCTTTGAGGTTAATAGCTAATGAGGACGAGGGGGATCAGCTTTTTCTTGTTCATTCAGTTGAACACTTGAAAACTGGGAGGATCCCTTTGAAATTATTTATATGTTTATCTTCTGTTGAACAAAGTCAAGTTAGCCAACAGCTAGTTTGAATAAGCTTAATTCTTGTTTGTTGAAAACTGAAAATAAATTTTTTATCAAAAGAGAACTTGAAATTTTGGAACGATTTGTTGAGGATTGTTGGGAGGGAGCTCACATTTACTAATTAAGGGGTTGATCATGAGTTTATAAGAAAGGAATACATTTCTATTGGGATGAGGTATTTTGTGGAAACCAAAAGAAAAGCCATAAGAGCTTGTGCTCAAAGTAGACTATATCATACCGTTGTGGGAGTTCGTGGTTCCTAACAAGGTATAGAGTCATGCCCTTAACTTAGTCATGTCAATAGAATTCTCAAATGTCAAACAAAGAAGTTGTGAGTCTCGATGATATAGTCAAAAGTGACTCAAGTGTCAAACAAAGGATTTACTTTGTTCAAGGACTCCAGAGAATGAGTCGAGCCTTGATTAAGGGGAGGCTATTCGAGGGCTCCATAGGCCTTAGGGGAGGCTCTATGGTGTATTTTGTTCTAGGGGAGGATTGATGTATTTTGTTCTAGGGAGGATTGTTGGGAGGGAGCCCACGTTGGCTGCACGTTGGCTGATTAAGGGGATGATCATGGTTTTATAAGGAATAAATTTTCATTGGTACGAGGCCTTTTGGAGAAACCAAAAACAAAGCCACGAGCAATATCATACCATTGTGGAGGTTCGTGGTCTCTAATACTATTTACCTAGTGCCCCACGTAGATTCACCAAGAATTTTTGTCTGTTTAGTGGACCTTTCTGCAGATGATTTATATTGCAACTAGCTTATTGGAACTATTTATCTCAATATTGCAGAAGCACACTCCTTCCAGATATTATCTTAGTTGAAAAAGACACATTGAAGTCTGATGAGGAATGTGGTATCATTCATCAACTGAACTGGAAACTGAATGCGAGTTCGTTTAAGTTACCGAAACTGATACTTCTTGCTACAAACATCACCACTGCAGAACTAGACAAGGCAAGGGCAGCAGGTTTTGCAGACACTGTGATCATGAAGCCATTGAGGGCGAGTATGGTTGCTGCCTGTCTTCAACAAGTACTTGATGTTAAGAACCAGAGGCGAGGAAGGGGCCTACCAAATGATTCTGTTTTCCTTCAGAGCCTTCTCTGTGGCAAGAGAATCTTAATTGTTGATGACAATAAAGTAAACCGAAGGGTCGCTGCAGGCGCTCTGAAGAAAGTAGGTGCAGATGTTGAGTGTGCAGAAAGCGGGAAAGCTGCACTGAAGTTGCTTGAGCTACCGCACAATTTTGATGCTTGCTTCATGGATATTCAAATGCCTGAAATGGATGGGTATGTTCTAACAAGTTTTCTTCATTTCTTCTCTCAATCTTGCAGGTCTTTCATTAGAATTGCATAGTTCTTCATTTCTCCTTTTGCTGTTTTAGCTAAAAAAACATGAACTCAGACCAAAAGTTAGTTAGGTAGAAAGTTTTGGTGCCATTGCATTGTTTCTGTGAGATCCCACATCGATTGGAGAGAGATAAACGAGTGTCAGCAAGGACATTGAGCCCCGAAGAGGGTGTACACTGGGTGGTGTACCAGCGAGGACGCTGGACCCCGAAGGGGGCGGATTGTGAGATCCCACATCAGTTGGAGAGTAGAACGAAACATTTTTTATAAGAGTGTGGAAACCTCTCCCTAGCATATGCATTTTAAAAATCTTGAGGGGAAACCTGAAAGGGACAATATCTGCTAAATGTGGACTTGAGCTGATACAGTTTCATTCTTTTCTCCATGAAAGTACGACGAGTAAATTATACGTATATTTTGTCAAAACTGCAGGTTTGAGGCAACTCGTCTCATCAGGATGATGGAGAGCAAGGCAAACGAAGGATCATCTACAAGCAAAAGCGAGTGGCATGTACCAATATTAGCAATGACTGCAGATGTGATTCATGCTACCTACGACGAGTGCCTGAAATACGGAATGGATGGCTACGTCTCGAAACCCTTTGAGGAAGAAAATCTATACAAGGAAGTTGCCAAGATTTTCCAAAAATCATAGCCCATCAAAGGCTTCATGGATGCTAAATGATATCATCAGCTGCACAAAACCAGAGGCAAAAGCTCCATTGCTGACCTCCTTTTGGTGGGTTAGAAACTACCAGCAACTTTTGACACCATTCCTGGTGCTAACTGTGTTCTTGCTGGTGAATAGGGAGCCGAGTTTGACGACAGCGTCGGGAATTCTCGACTGGTATTGAGATTCAGGCTTAGCCATTGCCATTTCTAACCAACTAAATGCTTTGTTTTTATTTAGAGAATATGAGTACCAACCTGTATACTACAATAGAGTTATCCATCCCCTAATGGATGTATAAATGGTTGCAAGGGGAAGAAACTAAACTGTAAATTGTTGGCTTAGGACTGTCTTTTGCCTAAATGTTTACAACAAGCTCATTCATAAGTTTGTTGAACATAAAAGGATGTAAATATGTAACGACTTTAATGGTGAAAGGATGACGATTTAAATCTCCGATTACTCCTTAACCTATGTTCAAATTGGCAACATGTCACAGTCATCTTTCAATTTTAGTTTAAGTATATTGATTATTCTGTCGAGTTTTCACCCAGTGTTCTTATAGATTTTTACTTCAATATCATATAAAGGTCGAGAGAAATACTACGACATTTGAAAGAATATTACGACCACAAAATTAACGTAATTTATTTGATATAAAATATATATTATCGATTAAAATGATAAATGTTTCAATCTTCTATATCATTGGTATATTTTATAAAAAAAAAAAAAAAAAAATCATGAAATTACTCTATTTATAATAAAATATGTTTTTCGTATCGAAATTATTTGATATTTAGATTTCTAATTTATTATACATTTTAATTATTTTCTTGGTAGCCCTTGTCTTTTTATTAATTTTAGATGTCAGTTGAAAGAGAAAAAAATATATTTATATTAAATGGATATCAAAATTTGGTTCGACAGAACTCTAAAGATACTATACGTAATTTATGTCATTATTCTTTCATTAAATTTTTATTATCTATATTTGACGTATCTAATATTATATTATGGATTAAATAAGGTGAGAATACTTACAAAATTTATTATTTATTTTTAAATGTTGAGTAGAGTGAGAAGTTTTAGTTTAAATGGATATTAGAAATTTGTAAAAAAATAAATAAGAATTTCGTGAAAATTAAAAATAAAATGGAGACATTAATATTATTATTATTATTATTATTTTGTGAATTGGAACACGTAATTTGAATGTTTGAAGTAAATGCGTAACGCCTCATTAATTGCATGTGAACCATCCGAATGCCATTCTCGAAATCATAAAGTTTTTTTTTTTTTTTTTTTGGTTTGTTTAAATTAATACATAAGCATACTCAGGTTTTTCAGAACTAATAGATCTCCATTAATATGAAATCTGTTGGGAAGCCCAAAGCAAAGTCATGACAGCTTAAGCTCAAAGTGGACAACATTGTACTATTGTGGAGATTCGTGATTCTTAACATGATACCAAAGTCATGCCCTAAACTTAGTCATGACAAAGAATTTTCAAATATTGAACAAAGAATTATGAGCCTCAAAAGTTTAATCAAAAGTGACTAAAGTGTCGAACAAAGGGTGTACTTTGTTTGAAAATTGTGAGACTCAAAGGTTTAGTGAAAAGTGACTAAAGTGTCGAAATTGGTCAGGTTTGATTAATTAAAATATTGATTTCAAATTTGAAGTAAAGTATAAGGGATGGCACATGGTTTTATAAATTTTATAAGTTTAGATTTCTTTATTTATTGGTAACGACCCCACTATTGATTGCATATGATTAGATTAGATTTTAATATTTCATTTTTTTATTATCACAAGATCTTTTGTAATGTCAGATTTACACGAATTTGAAGCAATTATTTATAGAGGTTGATGCACCCATTTGACTTTGCTAAATAAATAATTTAGCCTAGGTTTTGAATAGCTTAAAATACCTATTATGTCATTCTTGTTCATATTCAATCATCTATGTTTATCACGATTAGATTAATGTGGGACTTTTTGTTGATCGATACTTATTTTAGATTGATTGAATTGGAGGGTCTTTGTTAAATAAGTTGTTAGATCAATTTGGCTTCTTGTTGCTCGATGATACTTACTCCAGATGAATTGAATTTGAGGGTTATTAAGAGGTTAGATCGATTCTATATTTGTATAGAGCTTGATGTGTCAATTAGGGATTTTATTTGGTCGTACCGAATCTAGGACTATCAAAAATTTTAAAAGGATTCCAAATTATTTTAAATGAATTAACGTATATAACCCTAAATTGATGTGAGGGTAAGAGTAAACATTTTTTTTTTAATATATAGAAAATATATATAGCTTCGATATTTTAAAATATTTAAAAAGAAGTAATATTTGTTAACCAGTTCAAAACAAAATTACTCCCATTATTATTTCTCTCAAAAAGTTTCTAAAAAGTTTAAAACAATAATTTTTATTGGTCAAGGGGTAACAACCTGACTTATTAAACCATGGATTAAAATTATTACGTTATATGAAGTCAATGACACAAAATCATAGGTTTCCTTATTAGATCGAATTGAAAACATACCAGACAAGCCATTTAAAAAATTTAAGATTAAAAGACTTATAATATCAATATCAATGCTAGACCTACTTGTTAGATCGAAGTGACAAAATATGAAAATTTATGTTAACATGAACCAAATGACTTGTCAACATATGACCTTACTATTATTTGAGGAAAAAAATAAGTAAGTAACCCCTTTAATGAAGTAAGACATGCATACATACAGTAAGCATGCACACATGGGACCTAGATCTTATGTGTCGGAGACATCTCATTTTTGTGTGGCTAATGTGGATAATTAACTTATTGGGTGAGTTGTGCAAATTAGCTCAAGTGCATGATTGGGAGTTCTAAGAGACCTTACCAATTAAATTTTTATGAAAGCATGTAATTCATAAATATACATGAAGTCTCTTAATCGACTCTCACCATTTATTAAGAGAGATACTTTATATCATAATAAAATTTCAACGATTATCAAATTCACGTATCAATATTTTTGTGTAGTCTAAGTGATTCTCCCCCAACCTAAAAGAATTTTAAGATTACTACAAAAATTAAACACTTAAACGGACTACCAAAAATTATCCAAATATGGATAAGAGAATTAAGGGTTTTTTTACCCACGGTTCTTAAAAACAAAACTTAGGCCAAATCGCAAAAACTAAATAGAAAAAATTGAACAAGGACGACATTTAGGCATGCTACAATGGTTATCCAGAAGAAATTGTGGCGCTGGAACTACTCGTCTAAGACATTGACTTGAAAGTTTAGAAATCAAATAAATTAAAATTTTATAAGAAAAAAAAAATCCTTATTTAATATCTAATTAATTATTAAAAAAAAAAAAAAAAAAAAACTTACCAATTAGGTTAAAACAAGACTTAAAAGGAAAAGTATTAATGGATGGGCAAGCATTATCCTCTCCATTCTCCATGGCGGCATCATGCTTTCTTCTCTGTGGTTAGCAGTGTCAAATTTTCTGAGCTGGACCCACACGTCGTTTTCTTTTTCTTCCATTTTCCCACTTCCCAAACACCCCAGTTTCTCTCTCTTCTTTACTCATTTCCTTAACGCCTTTCCTCCTTCTCTTTCATTCTTATTCTTCTCTCTCTGCTTTTGCATTTATCACAATTTTCTTCTCCCCACCATCTCCGCCGCGTTTTCCTCCGTCCTACCTTCTGGAGAACAAAAAGAAACGCAATTCATGAAGATGAGAAAAGGGTTTTAATCCAATGCCGGCTGTACGGTTTCTTTTCTCCTTCTCATTTTGAGTAAAACCCTGTTCTGGGTTCCGGTTCTTTCTTTCTTCTGGGTTACCACACAGCGAGGATTTTGATTATTTTCCCTTTTTCGTCTCTTTTGTTTTTCTTTCTTAGATTCTTGACGAAGATTGAAAAAAAAATGAGGGAACCCCATTTGGGTTTTGGGGTGTTCCTTTTTGTGTTTGTGTTCTGTATCCTGTTTCTGGGTTCCTCTGTTTACGGCCAGCCGGCTGCCGGCGGTGGTGGTGATGGGTCAGTGATGAATCTCTTGAGGACTAGTATTGGAGCCCCGAGTTCTCTTGGGTGGACTGGTTCAGATTACTGTCAATGGCAGTATGTGAATTGCGATTCTCAGAACCGAGTGCTGAAAATCCAAATTGGAAACCAAAAACTCAAGGGATCACTTCCAAAGGAGCTCGTCAACCTCTCGGCGTTAGTTCAATTAGAGGTACAGGGCAACCAGCTGAGTGGGCCGTTTCCTAATCTTCCTGATTCACTGCAAATACTTCTTGCGCATGGTAATCTGTTCACTTCCATGCCGGCTGATTTCTTCGCCAAGAAGTCGGCGCTGCAAACGATATACATCGACAACAATCCCTTCGCGGCCTGGACAATCCCTGATAACATTCGAGAGGCTTCTGGGCTACAGGAATTTTCAGCAAATAGCGCTAATATAACTGGTGTAATCCCTGGATTTTTCGATGGCACTACATTTCCGACTCTTACAAGCTTGCATTTGGCGGGTAATTTTCTTGAAGGTGGATTACCAGCGAGCTTTGCAAGTTCTTCGATTCAGTCACTTTGGTTAAATGGACAACAGAGTAGTTCTAAATTAAACGGTTCCATTGCCATATTGCAAAACATGACAAATTTACTGGAGATTTGGTTGAATATGAACCAATTTTCAGGTCCTTTGCCGGATTTCTCAAACCTTCAGGGATTACAGAACTTGAGTTTGAGGGATAATCAGCTTACGGGTATTGTTCCTTCATCCTTGATAAATTTGAAATCCCTTGTGATTGTGAATTTGACGAATAATATGCTTCAAGGACCCATCCCTGCATTTAATCCTAATGTTCATCTGGACATGAGTCCTGGATCCAACAATTTTTGCTCGAATTCTCCGGGTGAACCTTGTAATCCCCTTGTGACTGCTTTGTTATCGGTTGCACAATCAATGGGTT